GATCCAGCTCTTCTACCTCACGCCCACGGGCAGAGGCTGCCTCTTGCTCCCTGTGAGAAGGCAGCACGTCTCCAGTCTTAGGAGTCCACACACATGACAGCAAACCTTGAGGGACCAGTTTGCCCTTAGACTCCGGCAGAGCTTGCCTCACCAGCCACACCAAGAACGCCTTACCACACCAACATGCTCGCTGCCTTGCCAGCAGTTAAGCATTGCCAGGGGCACAGAGCCAATCCAGCTGTGATAGAACAGCAGATTTATGCCCTTGAGGCCTGCCTACCATGGGCAGAAGCCCAGAGGAGGAAAATGCTCCCAGAGGACTCTGGCAGGCAAGTTAAATGCCTCTACAGACCTGACCCCAGGACTGCCAGAGCTCGCAGCAAGAGCAGTGCTCACCGAGGCCTGGCTCTGCACAGTAGAGCCAGCTACAGGCTCTTTGAGGGTTCAAGGCTACTCAGGCATCAAAGGTTTCTGTTCCACTTAGCAATCCCATTTTACTAGGCGCTGATTCTCCATCACCTTTTCTGATATTTTACCAGTCGCGATGCGCACCCCTCCCTGCTCACCATGCCCCGGGGAGGCTGGGGCTGCAGCCCTTCTATTCTCCGCCCCCCCCCCCCCCCCCCCCCCCCCCCCCCGAGCTATGGGGATCCCCTGAGAAGGGATGTGGTGGGGCAGGGGAGGGGGCCCTGCACCTCACCCTCTTACCCAATGGCGATCACATCCGCATCATTTGTCTCGCCCGTGTTGAGGTGCAGCAGTGATGTCACATCGTTCGGGGGCATGGCTGTGCCCACGTTCCAGGTGACCACTGTGATGCTTGGGAGGACAAAGGAAGAACAGGCTAACACTGGGGCTCAGAGGCATTCCCCGTCTCCTCCCCCCACCCCCCCAACCCCATTCGGTACCTAGCTGCACCAAGGAAGCTCTCTGCCTGCAACAGAAGCGGCCTCAGCTGAAGCTTAGCCAGGACACATATACCAGGTCTTTAACTCCCATCTGAGGGAGACAGGTTCTTTTTGCCTCTGATTTCCCCCAGGCTCTGTATCTCGGCTCATGGCAAGTGCCACTGTAACTGAAGCCCTGAAGCCCGGATGAAATTCTAGAAATCAGCACAAAGAGCCTTCATTTTCATCACCACTGACTGACACAGGCAGGCTGGCACAGCAGGTAGCCTGCGAGACAGGGCGTCCCTGGAAAACCGCTTCCCCTCCCTTCTCCAGGGATCACGCATCCCTCAGGATCCTGGGGAAAAGGACCTGGATCTCAGCTCGCAGACTCTGCCCCAGAGCACGGCCAGCCCCAAAGGCCAGGGCATCGCGTGCGACAGCAGCGCTGCAAGCTCTGCAGCCGTGTCCTTCACCAGTGCAAAGCCACCGTCAGTCGTGACACATTAATGCCGTTACGCAGCATGCACCAGTGGCCCGTGAGCTCTTTCGGCGGCGCTGGGACAAGCCTCAGTCGCAGGGGGCACGTTTCAATTGCAAGGAAGGGTAGCGTCACATCATCGCCAGAGCTCGGGGACAGTGGGGGCAGATGGCCCCCCACTCCACTGCCCGTGCCTCTGACACGCCAGCCCATGCAGCACCCACTCCCCTGAGCAACACCTGCAGACAGTGGGCACGGGGCATCTCACCCCCCCCCAGTGAGCCCTTGCTTGTCCACAGCCCCTCACCCCAAACTCTCCTCCAGCTGAACACCACCCAGGGCAGGAAGAAAGGAGAAACTCCAGCCTGCGAGAGGCTTCGCTTGCTGCTTCACAGCAAGGGCAGCTTCAGCCTGGCATCGCTCTCCCCCCAACAGCAGCTCCCGCTCACCGGAACGAGCCGTCCTCCTGGACCCTTCCCGAGCAGCCGAGGAGTGCGTCACCGGAGTCGCTGGAGCCCGGCAGGCCGAGGGGCCTCCCGAGGAGGGAGAGCTCGTCCGGCTCCTGTTTGGCGAGGGCTGAGGGCTTGGACAGGCCCGCCCGCCCACCGGCGATGAACTCGCTGGAGACGGCTTTGGGCAGGCCGGCGGCCCTGGGCGAGGAGCCCGCCCAGGCCGAGATGTGGTCGCTGGACTCCGCCTTGGGGAGCATCTCCCTCCGCTCGACGGGCAGCGGCTTCCCGGGGGCCCCGTGCTCCGGGGGCCCGCGCTCGGGGAACGGCGGCCGGCCCGGCGCCGGGCTGGGCACGGCGGGCCGGGCCGCGGGAGCGCCCGGGCTGGGGGGCAGCAGGGCCGGCGGCGGGGCGCCGTGGGCCCCGCCGGGCCCCTCGGGCCGCGCCCGGCCCACCTCCAGCGGCAGGGGCCGGGCCGCCCGGCCCGGGGCCCGCTCCTCGGGCCCGCCGCGCTGCGCGCCCCCGGGCCGCGGGCAGCCGTGGGGGAAGGGGTCGTAGGCGGCGTCCGGGCGGGAGCTCCTGCGGCCGCCCGGGGCCCCGCCGTCGGGCTGCGGCCGGGCCGAGCCCCCGGGCCCGAAGGGCGGCGGCGGGGCGGCGGGCGCGGGGCCCCGCGGGGCGCCGGGCCGGGGCCCGCAGGCGGCGGCCGAGCCCCGGTCCGCGCTGCCGCGCCGGGGCGGCTCCATCGGCGGGAAACCGCGAGCGCGCGGCCCCGTGACGTCAGCGCCGCCGGGCCACCTGCGCGGCGCCTTAAAGGCGCAGAGAGGCGGCGGGAACGGCACCGCCCCGCGCGCACCTGCCGCCCCCCCGCCCCGCCCCCGGCGCCCCGGTGCGGGGGGGGGGGGGGGGGGCAGCGCCCGGGGCCGCCCCTGCGCGCGCACCACCTCTCCCCCGCGCCCACACCCACGCGTGGGTGTCCTCGGGTGCGGGCGTCCCCCCGGCAGATCCCGGGGCCCCGCCGGGGCGGACCCACGAGTGCTGAGGGGGCCGCCCCCGGCACTGCCGGTAACCCGACATCCGCCGTGGCGCCTGGCAGACGCCCGGAGCGGAGCGGGCCCCGCTCCCGCCTCCAGGAAAGGCGCCGGGAGGACCCGGGGAGCGGGAGGGCGGCAGCCCCTGCCCCGGCCCGGGGAAGGCGGTGGGGCAGCCGGCCCTGGGAACCACTGCCAGCCCCCTGCACAAGAAGACGGCCATCAGGGAGAGTCAGCACGGCTTAGCCGAGGGGGAGTTCTGCGCGGCCAACCCGACCGCGTTCTGTGATGGAGCGAGTGGTCTGGCAGAGGAGGGCAGAGCCGTGGGCGCTGGCCTCCTGGGCCTCGGACACTGCTTCCCATCGGATCCTCCTAGAGAAGCTGGGCTGGATGACTGGAACTGGGCAAACGGCTGGGTGCAGTGGGTAGTGGTCAGCAGCACAAGGTCTAATTGGAGGCCAGTAACTAGCGGTGTACACCAGGCGTCGGTACGGGGTCCAGTCCTGTTTAACATATCAGCCCTGACCTGGATGATGGGACAGAGCGCAGCCTCAGCAACTTTGCAAATGACACCAACCTGGGAGAAGTGGCTGATAAACCAGGGGGTCGTACGTCCATCCACAAGACCCAGACGGGCTGGAGAAACGGGCTGGCAGCACCCTTACGCAGTTCAACCAAGGGAAGTGCAAAGTCCTGCTGCTGGGGAGGAACAACCCCCGGCACCGGGACATGCTGGGGGACACCTGGCTGGATGGAAGCTCTGCAGAAAAGGCCCTGCAGGTCCTGGTGGACACCACACTGACTGTAAATTCAGCGTGTCCTTGGGGCAAAGAAGGTGAATGATGTCCTGGGCTGCATCAGGAGTCCTGTCAGCAGGTGGAGGGAGGTTGAGGAGGCACCAGCAAGGCCACCTCTGGAGGGCTATGTCCAGTGCTGGGCTCCCAAGAGCAAGTCCAAGAGACATGGACCTACTGGAGAAAGTCCAATGAAGGGCCACAAAGATGATGGACTGGAGCATCTTTCACATGAGGAGAGGCTGTGAGACCTGGGACTGCCCAGCCTGGGGTGGTGGAAGCTCAGGGGGATCTCATCCATCTACAGAAACACCTGCAGGGAGAGCGCAGAGGGGATGGAGCCTGGCTTATTTCAGTGGTGCCTGGTGGCAGGACCGGAGGCAGCGGGTTCAGTCTGGAGCACAGGAGGTTCCCTCTGCCCGTCAGGAAACCCTTTTTCCCTGAGAGGGTGACTGAGCCCTGGCTCAGGTTGCCCAGGGAGGTTGTGGAGTCTCAGTCCTTGGCTTAACACCTGACTGGACACGGTGCTGGGCAGCAATCTCCTGGTGGCCCTGCTGGAGCAGGGGCTTGGACCAGATGGACCCCAGAGCCGCCTCCAACCTCAGCCTGTCCGAGACCCTGTGATTCAGTGACCGGTGGGATGTGCACGTGGACAGGTGTTCGTGTGCAGCTGCGTGCATGACGCGTGTGCCGGCCTGCAGGGGTGCGCCCCGCTTTGTGCACGCACGGCCACGTGTGCGTTCAGTTGCACGCGTGCGCAGTCGGGGTGCCCGGTGTGCGTGCGTGCAGGCAGCCAGGCGTACACGTAGAGCTCTGTGTGCGCGCACACACTGTTGCACAAGGGACTGCGTGTGCTGGTGCGTGTGTTTCTGGGCTCTGCTGTGCATGCTGGTGCATCTGGGCACGGACGCGCTGGGAGCAGCAGTGTGCGGGGGCAGCCGTGTGTGTGTGTGTGTGTGTGTGTGTGGCACATGTGTGCGTGCACCCGTACATGCGTGAGGGTGCGCGTGTGCACAGCTGTGTGTGCATGCAGCTGTGCACCACTGTGTGCGCGCCCAGCAGATGCTGTGCCCGCACACACCCTCTCCCGCGTGTCGCTGTACGCGTTTGCAGTGTCTCCGTGTGCGCGTTCGTGTCTGCAGTGTGTGTGTGTGTGGGGAGGGGGATGGTGGGTTTGCTGGGGGGGGGGGGGGGGGGGGGGGGGCTGCAGTCCGTGCGTGCCTCCCGCTTGCGCTGCGCGTGTTTGCAGCGCGCGCTTCGCCCGCGCCTCGTTTCGCAGCGTCCTCGCGTTTGCCGTGCGGGGGGGCGTTCGCGCTGTGGTCACGCTGTGCGTGGGGCGTGCGTGCACGTCGGCTGCGGGTGTTCGCGCGCGCGCGCGCGCGCCGGGGCGGTGACGTGGCGTGGGAGCCATGCTGTGGGCGCTGGCGCTGCTGGCGGCGGCGGCGGGAGGGGGCGGCGCGGGGTCCCCCCGGCTCCGCGGGGCCGAGCTGCGGGACCTGGCCCGGGGCAAGGTGGAGGTGAGCGCGGGGCGGGGGGCGCGGGGGCGCGGGGGGCGCCGCCGGGGTGACGGGTGTCTCCTCCCGCAGACCTGCGGCGGCTGACGGCTGAACCGCCTGAGGGAGGTGAGTGCCGGGGGCCGGGGGCCGGGGCCGGGGCCGGGGGCGGGGGCCGGGGCCGCCCCGCCGCTGAGCCGGGCCCCACCGCCCCCTCTGCCCACAGGTGAAGGCCTTCGTCACCCAGGACATCCCCCTCTAGTACCCGGCGGCACCGCGGCCACCCCGCTCGGCCAGCGGAGCTCGGAGCGGCTGCGCCCCCGGGCACGGACCCCCGCCGGGATGGGCGGTGGGGTGCATAGGGGATGGGACTGGGGACAGCCCGAGATGGGATGTGGGCAGGATGGGATGGGAGGGGGGTAAGAGGATGGGACAGGACCGGGCGGGATGGGGTGGAGAGGACAAGGTGAGACAGGTGGAGGGATGGGAGTGGATGGGCTGAAGGATGGGATGGGCTGAGATGGAAGGTGGGACTGGATGAGGGGTGGATGACTGGGGGCACGGGATGGGACAGGATTGGCCAGGATGGGGTGCGATGGAAGGTGAGATCAGGCGGGATGGGATAGGGTGGGGTGGGATGCAATGAAGGACGTGATGGGGTGGGAGGGAATGGGATGTGACGGAGGACAGGATGGGATGGGGGGCTGCATCAGCTTGCCCAGGACTGTCTGCTCCTTAACGCACTTGTCCAGCCATAACCTGGAGATGAAGCACCTGCCCGGCGCTGACCCCGAGCTGGTGCTCCTCAGCCACCGATACGAGGAGCTGGAGGTGAGTGGGCAGCGTGGCGCCCGCCGCCGCAGCGGGGTGTGGGGTGGTCGGTGCCCCAGAGGTGCCAGGCTGCCATCCTGGTCTGCATGCAGAGAATCCCCCTGAGCGACATGACCCAGGAGGAGATCAACCAGCTGGTTCAGGAGCTGGGCTTCTACCGCAAGGAGACGCCTGATGCCCCTGTGCCTGAGGAGTTCCAGTTTGCCCCTGCCAGGCCTCTGCCCACCCTGCCACCCGCACAAGCTCCTACCGCTGCTGGCAAGACCCAACCCAAACGTGATGAGGGACAACACCCAGACCTCTAGGGAGGGGTGCCGTGCTCAGGAGAGGGTCCTGCAGCCAGTCCCCAGCACATGGGGACGAGGGCATTACAGCAGCTGGGGATGGTGCCACAGGGTGGCAAAGATGCACCCACTGTTGCTTGGTGCTGTGTAGCCTCTGCCCTGAGGATGCCCTGAGCTGCTCCAGCCTTGAGCAGGGGCTTCTTGGGCATTGCAGACATCCCAGGGGTCCCATGGGACTGTTACTGCCCTCCCTCCCCTGCAGCCCAGCATCCCTGGCTGACTGGGAGGAACATTGTTCTTTGTGCTCCCTTGCCATACTCCAAGGTTTAGCTCACTCCCGGCACCGGACAGTGGTATCCTACCTACGTGGGACAGGATGAAACCCTCAGCAGAAAGTCCCAGGTGCTGAGGGTAGATGTGCTGAGTCCCAAAGGTGGGAGAGCTGCCCCCAGCGTGGGGTATGGCTTTACACCCCAGCAGGGTTGTCTCGTATCGAGCCCCCAGTAAAGCCTTTGCATATAATCGGCTGCACTGTGAGATCTTTCCAGGGAGGCATTGGTGGGGCACATCCTGCACTGCTCTGTACCGGATGCAGGGAGGAGCTGGGTGCCCCAGTGCCGGTCACAGAGGTGGGAGGGGATGGCAGGGTTGTAGCCACCATGGGTGAGCCAACAGATGGTACGGCAGACCAGCTGTGCCATTCTTCTGACACCCCCTCCCCAGCGTGAGGGATGAATGGGGCACTATGGCTTGGGACCAGCTGCTCTCACGGTGCACAGGGGGACAGGTACGAGCCCCCGAGGGGGTGCTGCAGCATTGAGCCAGAGCCTGGTGGCAGCGCGTGCCCCGCGGGGATGCCTGGCCCTGGCCTGGCACAGGGCACAGCTCAGCCCGCAGCCCTGGCTCCGCACGGCCTCCGCAGCAGTCAGGGGGTCCCTCCCCGTGCCAGGCCTGGGGGCGGCAGGGGCAGCGAAACGCCGGCCTGTGGCCGGGGTGGGACACTGGTGGTGCCCCTAGGGTCCAGGCAATGTCCCCAACCAGGAGCAACATGTGCCCTGCCTCTCCCCCCCCGGGCTGGGCAAGCTGCGGGCCCTGCGGGCAGAGAGGTCCAGGAGTGAGCAGGGCTGCCAGCACTCCCCTGGGTGTTCTGGCGTGTGCTGCACTGGTGGCACGAAGCAGCGGTGTGGCCAGGAGAAGGACCCGAGGCAGAGGCATCACCCTATAGAATAATTCTTTATTGTCTGGCTGGTGTTGGTACACGTGTCAATGCAGGGGTGGGGATGGTGATGGAGGGGCGAGGGGCACTGAGCACAGGGTGTCCTGAGCTGGGGAAGGAGAGGGGGGGTGCTGCCATCCCAGCTCATACCTTGGGCCCATCCCTCCCCTGGGACCCCTCACCTCCCACCCACTCCCCAGCACAGGGATGCTGCAGCCCCCCCACTGGTGTGGAAGTGCCCCAGGGTGCACGTGCACAGTAGGAAGCAGGGTGTCAGCATGGGGCTGTGGGGCCATCCCCAGGGAGGTGGCACCGAGGGGGCCTGCGGTGGGCAGAGGGCCTTCCTCCTCGCAGGGGGGGGGGGCAAAGAAAACCACTCGTGGGCATGCTGCTTGTGGGATGCACCGCAACCCGGGCTGGACTGCTCAACCTCGCTTGGCTGCTGACCCGTGCCAGCCCCAGGCCTGAGGGCACAGCCGTGCCTGGGCCACCCCACAGACGCAGGGGTGCTGCCCACGGGACAAACAGCTCCTGGAGAACAAATAACTTAACATGCTGGAACGCAGGAGGCACAAGCCAAGTCGGGGCGCATCCCCAGCAGCACCTGCCTGACCCTGCTTTGCCCTGCCCGTGGGGTCAGCCCACAGCCACCCAGGGCAGGGGGAGCTCCGGCGAGGCAGAGGTCGGGGGGGTGCTCAGGTTGCAGAGGCCCCTGTCCCCAGCACCAGTCTCGGGGTCCCCCTGGACCCTCCCGAGGCAGGCAGCTCCCCTGCCCAGCGGCAGCCCTGAGGGCGGGGGGCAGCGGGGTGTCGGGCAGGGCAGGCTCTAGCACTCTTTCTGCCGCATGCGCAACTCGTGGCGACGCAGGTGGTTGTAGAGGGACTGAACGTAGGTGAAGACACACTTGGAGTCTGGCTTCTTCCCCATGATCATCATGTCTTCCACCTCCACCAGGGGCACGCAGTCCACCAGCGTCCTGCAGAGACGCAGCCCTCAGCATGGCCCTGGGCAGGCTGCCCCACCCCGGGGGCCGGGATGGGTGACACGTGCTGCCCAGGGCTGGCTGGTGCTGGGTGCCACTGCTCTCGGCCCCACTCAGCTCCTGCCTGCCCCTTGGTACCCATAGTCCTGCCCCTCCTGGCCCTGGGAAGAGCTCGTGCTGCCTGCCTGCCCCAGCTCTTGGTGCTGGCAGCCGCTCCCTGCTCAGGCCGTGCCTGCCCTCCTCCTCCGGCCGATGCTGGTACATGGTAGGGAGAGATGTGCCTTCCCACCCACGCGTGTCTATGCTGGGCCCCAGCCCCAAACCCCACCAGCTGGTCCAGGGAAAGGCAGGCGGGGGTCCCAGTCACACGCCATGCCAAAAACACTGGTCACCACTCCTGCCAAAAGCACTGGCCCTGTTCTCATGCCAGCCCAGTTCCCACCATCGTCTTGGACTGGAGCCTGGGGGGCCGCCTGCCCCAAACACAGCACCGCACCGCTGGTGGGGTGGGCACTGCCCAGCTTCAACAAGCTCAGCACTGGCCTGTGCCTACCACCTCCCAGCCCAGGCCCTGGCGTGGTCCTGGGTTCTGCGCAGGACCCTGCTCCAGCAGCTGCCAACCTTGGGGCTCCCTGACCGAGCAGCTGTGGCAGGACCCCCCCATCCCTGCAGTTTCTCGGCTCTGGCACTGTCCCTTTGGTGGGCTTGCAGCCCTGCCCTCACCACTCACCCTGCAGGTGTCATTTCTCTCCCCAAGCTGGGGCTTCCTGAGCAGCAGAGGGGGGGTCCAGCTTGAGGGGGCTGCCAGCATGGTTGGGGTAGTCACTGCAACAGCCAGGCAAAGCATGGAGGGCAACTGGCCACCTCCATCCTCTCGCCTTTCTGCTGCGGGGGGCATAGAAGCAACCCTGCCACTGCTGCCACCCCCTGGCCTTGCCCTGGTCCCTGTGCTCCTGCCAGGGGACAGACAGCACTGGAGCACACCAGGCTGCTGCTACAGATAGCGGCCAATGTAGCTGTGAGTGGCTGGGGCTGTGCCAGCACCGGGAGGCTGCTTAGCGCGGACTGGCAGCCCCCACTGATGCCATGGCTGGCCCAGCTGCTCCGGCCCCAGGGCCACCCTCCAGCAGGGGCTCTGCCCCAGTGACAGGGTGCACTGGGCAGCTGTGAGCTCAAGGAGGGTCTGAACCCCAAGCTGCCATCTACCACCACAATACACATTGCCTCCCTCCGCCAAGCCCTCTCCCCAAGCTGCAGTATCCCTGCTGCACACCTTGTACCCCCAGCACAGCTCACTCCAGCTGGCACAGGGGGACCCTCAGCTGCTGCTAGCCCCCAGGGCCAAGGAGAGCTCTCCGTCCCAGGGCTCTGCCAGGAGCCTGTTCCTGCACCCCACCTGCCCAGCTTGCCCCTGGGGCCTCTGCTGCACGTGAGTCAATGGGCTCTGAGCCCACGGCCTGGCTGGCACCAGCTGCACCTCGTGATTCGGCCACCCTTGGGGGCACGGGGGACAGGTGCCTGTGCTCAGGGCCTTGGGAAAGCCCCTGCCTGAGCTCCAGAGGCCCCCTGCCACTGTCAGCCCTCGCTCAGGGGGTGCCGGTGAAGCAACGGCAGCACAAGGAGAGAGGCTCTGCCCTTATAAAGCCATTGTTTGGGCCCCGGTATGCTGGTGCTGTGCAGAGCCCAGGGGAGCAGCAGCTCCAGCGCCAGCTGGGATGCCCCTGAAGACAGACACAAACACTGCAAGACGAGGCAGGACCCAAACCTTGCGTCACGCTTTCCAGGCTCCCCACTCTTGCCCATATATGAGCAGGCTGTACCTCGTGGGCAGGGCACCATCGCCTCCGCCTGGCTCCACAGCAGTGGCTGCAGCCCCCCTCCCTGGCCGGGGGTGGCAGCCCCTGCACACCCCAGGGCCGGGGGGGAAGGAGGCAGCAAGTGCAAGCAGTGATGCTGGGGTGTGCCGGGGGGGCTCACCCATGCCTAGGCAGCACCGCTTGGGCTGGTGCTGCTGCAGAGCCCCCAGAGCAGCATCCCCAGCAGCTACTCCCCTGGGTCAGGCTCAGCTAGCAGGGAGGGAAGAGCTGCGGCAGCTCCATTCCCGCCAGCGCCCTCCCCACGGCTAGAGAACAAACAGCCCCCCCCCCCAGGGTGACCAGTCTCCCCCCTCCCCAAATCCCCATGGGTGCTGTTCTGGAAGGCCAGAGACCAGCCAGCTGCTTCCACCCCTCTCCTGGCCGCAGCTTGGCCCTGCCAGCTAACACCACCAGGACTTGCCCCTCACCCACCAGCATCCCCCAGCCTCTTCCCCAGCTGCAGTGGCTCCTCCCCGGCCAAGGGGCAGTGGTGGGGCACGGGCAGATATCTGGAGGGGAAGGTTCTCACCATCGCTCCCGGGGGGGTGAAAATGGGCTACGACTTTTTGGTTTTTACCAGCCCCTTCTGGACCAGGCAGCGATAGAATTCCTGAATGTATGTGTACACACACTTCCAATCTGGCTCGCGCATCCGGACCATGTCCTCCACGTCCAGCAACTGCGGACAGTCTGCGTGCTTCCTGGGGGCAGGGAGAGAGAGGGGCAAGCCAGTGACCGCAGCCCAGTTGGGGAGGGAAGGAAGAGAGAAAACAAAGAGACACATATCAATGCAGTTCCCGTCCCTCCCCCAGGCAGATGCTGCTCTGCTCTCGCATGCTCTGGGGGTGCGCGATGCAGGGGCAGGAGGGCTCCAGGCACTACCGTGCCGAGGCCATTCAGTGAGATTTGGGGGGGCACAAGCAAGGGAGGGGGAGGGCAGGTGAGTGGCGTGGAGAGGCGTGAGGTCCAGAGGAAAGGACAGACAGACAGAAGTGGAGGAGGAGGAGGAGTGAGGTGTTCTGGCACGCCAGGTGCTCGGGGAGCGGGTTCCAGAGCGGAGTGGCGCTCTATATAGCCCTTATATAGACCCGCCGGGAGGATGGGGGGGCAAGCCCAGCCCTCCTGCCCAGCTCTGCTTGGAACCACGCGGCACAGCCCTGGTGCAGGAAGCTTGGGATAAGACGCTCACAAGAGCTGGAGGAGGAGGAAGGACGAGAGGCCACCTGGCTTCCAGGTCGGAGAGGTCGATGGCTCTCTCAAGTCCACACACTGGTTCCCCAATTAAGGCAAAAAGTCCATTAACAGGAGCGCCAAGAGCCAGGCACAAGGCCCCCTTCTTGCTGCACCGAACAGTGCTGCGGCACCCAGGGAGCTTGTGGGAACTCCCAGCTCACACCACTGCCCTGGGCACTGGCTGGGATGGGACCCCCACCTGCCCAGCCCTGCCCCTGGGCAGGGTGCTGGAGGGGAGAGGGAGTGGGTGGGAGAGAGACAGAAGGAAGGAGAGAGGGGCTGGCTGCCAGCCCTCCAGCTGGACGCGCTCCCGTCTCTCAGCACCCAGGAAAACCAGAAGCAAAAGGGGAAGAAACTGGAGAAGCTGCGATGGTGTTTGAGCCCCTACAACCGTGAAAGGAGGCACCTGGCACGGACAAACCCTGCTTCCCAGGGGCTGCAGACCTGCACCCAGCACCACGGGATGGGATGTCCTGCGGGCAGCTGGGCAGGCTTAGGGGGCTGCTGTCCTGCCTTTGGGTGCTCTTCCCCACGCCTACCCTTGCCATGCCAGATTGGGCTGCGCTGGCCTCTCGTGGCTCCATCCACGCAGCCACTGCTTCCCCCCCAGCGTCAAAACCTCTTGCATGGCACAGGGCGGGGAACAATGCTGATGGGCACCCACTTCTGGCACCATTGCCACTGCCCACGTCCCCCCTTTGCCCCTGGCAGCGAGTGGGAGAGTCGCCCTCGAGCCGCCCCAAGCCCACATGATGGCACAAGTGCTACATACTCTGCGGAGGAGAAGGCCACTTCGAAGTTGTGGCGGCGGTTCTGGGGGGTCAGCTGGCTGTAGTCAAATGCCTCAGGAAAAAAGTTGTGGACCAAGGCACAGAAGGCCATGCCATCGCTCCAGCTGGACGAGAAGTTCTGGATGTCCACGTGCTGCGAGGGCAGGAGAGTTACCAAGGGGCAGAGCGACCAGCCCTGGGGACAGGGAGAGGAGGTGGCACTCACCTCATAGCCCCGGGTCTTGGCTCTGCACCAGTCCAGCAACATCTGCTTGATGCTGTTGGCATTGGGCACGCCGAAGCTGGAGGAGCGCTGCACGCCAGCGCGCGGCACTGCGAGGTTCGGCGAGCTGTGGCAGAGGACACGGGGTGTTATCCAGGCAGCGTTTGCCACCCTGGCCCGCCTGCCCCTGGCCCGGCCTCACCTCCCGCCCTCCTTCTGCAGCTTCTCCATCATGGCCTTGCGAGCCTGAGAGGCCGATGTCTTCGGCAGGCTCTGAGCTTTCATCAGCTCCTTCTTCTTCTCAGCCTGGCGTCGCTCCAGTGCGGCCAGGCTGCTCTGCCTGGAGGCACTCTCATCTTCACGGTCAAAGATGCTGGGAAAGAGACAGGAGGAGCTAAGGAGGGGGGGGCTGTGGGCAGGGGAAGGGCATGTGGTGGCCCCAGCCCATTGCCAGCCCTGGCATTTTGGAGACCTCCACGTCCCTGGGACAGAGGAGGGGTGGCTTAAGGTCCCTGGCTGGCAGACACGTCTCCGTGCCCGTGGAGGGTCCCATGGGGACTGCTGGAGACAGTGAGCAGGCCCCAAGGACCAGGAAGCTTTGGGGACATCCCCACCCGGGGACAGTGCAAGCTGAGCAGAGGGGATTCGTGCAAGCAGGCGGCTGACGGGGACCACTTGGGGCTGGCCCCGGGAAGGCACCACCACCCACCTGCCCGTCTTCTTGGAGGAGGAGCTGAAGGATGACTTGGTTTGAACGAATGTGCTGTTGCCATCTGCAGAAAGAGAAAGAGAGAGGCCTTGGGCAGGAGCTGATGGAAGCAGCGCCAGGCAGGTGGGGGGCTCTCCCCACGCCACAGGCAGGTATGGCTCGGTGGCAGCAATGCCCCTGGGGTTACACCCAGAGGATGCTGCAGGGAAAGGGCAGCAAAAGCTCTCTTACTGTCTGATCTCTTCACGTAACTTGACTCCATGCTTGTGGTACGGGAGGTCTTGGTGCCATCGCCTGCAGGGGTAAGGCAACAGGGGATCAGCTGGGGCCAGGGGCAGCAGCACCCACAGACACCCACTGCTGCTAAGCACCCTCACAGACATGTAGCACAACAGGGAGAAGTCCCACGAGGCCGAGCCATGGCCAGGACAGGTAGGTAGGGGACAGATGGCATATGCCCCCCAGGCAGAACAAAGAGGCCAGTGCAAAGGAGCAGGGAGCTGGAGCATCCCTCAGAGCCCCGCAGCGACTCTCGGCTTGAGCCACCCAGGGGCTGGGAGAGCAGAGGTGCAGGGGACAGGAGACAGGCCTGAGGTGCAGACAAGGCCCCCGACACCCCGATGGCACAGAGAACTGGGTGGGAAGTCACCAGAGCAGATCCCTTAGGCAGGCTCTGGGCAAGTTGGAGATGATGCAGCAAAACTCAGCCCTGAACCACAGTCCTGCTCCCAGAGCAGTCAAGCCAGACCTGGGCCAGGCGGCAAGAACAGCTGAGAGAAGCTGTGGTGGCAGAGCACTGCAAAAGCCTCTGCACAGCCTCCCAAAGGGCTGGCACACCAGCTCTGCTCGGCAAGTGAGCCCTGTGTCCCCCCAGCCCAGCCCGTACTAGACTGGACAAGACGCTCGGTCTTGGTGACAGTGCTGCGTGCCGAGCCGTCGGCTGACTGGGTGCTCTGCGTGGTGGTGGTCTCTGTGGCGTGGCCGGCCCTTCCTGCTGTAGCCTGGCTCCTCGTCTCCTGCAGCCGCTGGTCCCGCTCCTTCTCCCGCTGGTCTGCAAACGTGAGTGGGAGACAGCATCAGCAACGAAGCAGGGGCGGCAGGCATGGTCCCCACCATACCAGGGGTCCTGCTGGCTGCTGCTGGCCCAGAACGGGCTTGCGGGCAGGACAATGCCCTCGGCCTGGCACAGCCAGGGGTGCAGCAGAAGACCCAATGCACCCTCCTGCTTCATCACAGTTGGACAGCCCCACCCCACCACCCTGCCAGCTCCACCTGCAATGCCACCACCAGAGCCCTGGCCCCTGCGGGAGGAGCCACTGTCCCCACAAACCTCGCTTGCGCTGGCGCAGCTCCCGCATGGCGTTTCGGATCAGTCGCCGCTCCTCGAAGTCTGTTGTCCGATCCAGCTAAAGGAGGAGGTGGAGATCAGCATCACCCTTCTGCCACCAGCTCAGGGTCCCCTCGTCTTCTCCCCAGGAGCCCAGTGGTGGAAGAGGTACCATCTTATCCAGAACATCCTCATCCTCAATCCTCTTCAGCTCCTCGACATTCAGCTTGCTCCTTCTCTCCAGCTCTCTCACTTGGACCTTCTCCATGCCGTTGGGCAGCTCTGGCTCCAGCCTGGATGCCTGGGGCTGCTCTACCGCCTCTGGCTCCACCTGCAAGGACAGCACCATGCAACTGAGCTCCCACCAGCTTGGCCACCCCTCTGCCATGATGCCCAGGGTCCGAGCCCCTCCATCGCCCTGACACTTGCCCAGTGCTGTGGGCAGAAGAGACCCTGGAGAAGGTGTGCCAACATGTGGCATAAGAGCCCACAGCCAGTGGGACACCACAGGCATCTGCGGCAACCAAGGCAGGCAGGGGAGTGCAACGTCCCCCACTGAGGCACCCCCTGCCCGGGGAGGTCCCAGCAGACTCTGACCTGCTCCCAGTTTGGCTGCCAAAACGTCCACAAATGCTCCCCACCCCCTTTCACCACAGGCTGCCAGGGCCCTCCAGCAAGCAGAGGCTGCCTGGGTGCTCCAGGCTGGGCAGTGACTGGTGCCCAGCAGTGGACAAGGTGCTGGCAAGGCCAGTGCGTGCCGTTAGCAGCACAAGGGATTTCCACGGAATTAAGGGACTTAGTGGAGAGAAGAGCTTGTGCAGGAGATCAGGAGCCTCCCCCGCATCCACGCTCAGGATCTAGGCCAGCTTGGCCCCTGCTGCAGCAAAGCCAGGACGCCAAGTCCCTTTCAGCACGACTCCCCAGCAATGCACGCCAGGCAGCGGGCCCAGCCTGGAATAGGGCACGGAGGCAGCAGGGAGGAGGTGCTGGTGTGGGGCCAAAGCAGCCCCACCACGCGCCTGGCCCCATGCTGCGTGCCGGTACCCAGCCCACGGCAAAGTGCTGGCCACCTGCGCCTGTGCCACCGCCTGCGCCTGTGCCACCGCCTGTGCCAGGGCAGGACGGCTGCCTGCTGCCTGCCCACCCGCCGGGCACCGCGGAGCAGGCAAGCGCCGTTTGCCTCCCGCAGCAGCAATCTCAAACGGTGGCAGATCCCTGTGACGCTGCGTCCCCTCTGCACCACAGCCACAGTTCCACCTTGCGCCGGGGGCTTCGCCTTGGCTCCAGCCCACCCCTCCCGCCGGGCACCGCCGTGGGGCAGGGCTGCCCCCACTCACGCCACTGTTGCTCCGGGAGAGGTGCAGGACCGATTGCTGGCGGGTGCTGGAGAAAGTGGGTGGATGGGCCACGGGGACGCCGGGCTCCTCGGTGCCCTCAAAGTGGGCGCAAGGGTCCTGTGCTTCCAGAAGGAGGGTGCTGAGGTCCTCCCCAGCGGGCTCCCGCAGCCCCAGCTGCAGCACCAGCAGGTCGAGGTGGTGGCCCAGGCGCGTCAGCTCTGCCCGCAGCTCCAGGTGCTCCTCCTCCAGCACCCGCAGTGCCCGTGCCAGGGGCTGTACCTGCCGCAGGGCCTGCTCCAGCTGCCCCTCCACCGCCCCCTGGAAAGCCCCCAGCTCCCGCCGCAGCTCCACCAGCTCAGCCGCTCCGGCCTGCGCCAGCCCCTCCAGGCCGACCCCCGGCATGGTGACAGCACCCGTGCTGGCAGACGCTGCAGGGAGCCCCGCTCAGCTGTCCTCTGCCCTTTATAGGGACACCAGGGACACCACCCCCAGCTGGAGGCCGGCCCGGCACAGCTCCGCACCCACTGGGCTATTCTTGTCACGGCGGCTGGGGGTCCCGCACAGGGGGTGCCGAGGCAGCCGCTGACACTTGGCAGAGTTTCCAGCCCCGGGACCAGGTGGCTCGGCGAGGGGGAGCCCTGCCGAGCAGCACCTCTACCCCAGGCGGCTGCCAGTGCCCTTGATGCCAGCTGGGGGGTGGGGGGGGCTGTGGGGCACGGCGGGTGGGGTAGAGCCCTCATCGGGGATCAGACCCAGACCATTGCCACGCTAGGTGCGCTCCAGGGCCAGGGACCACCCATGCCCCCTTTCACCCCAATGCCCTCCCCTTCCTGGCCAGCATCACCCACAACACACCGACATCTCCAGCCTCAGGCTGGTGCCAGCAATCATGCCACCAGCCTCTGTCCCCCTCCCTCCCCTCCCCGCCTGATGAACACCCCAGGGGCAGCAGGTCCCTGCACAACGGGCACAGGTGGCACCCCACCAGCAAGAGGACACGCTGCAGGGGCCGCCCTCCTCAGATCCCCACTCCTCACCCATTCCTCCAACTGAAACCTACCTGGCAGGGCTGCCAGCACCACTGCCGCCTCCTCCTCCCTGCCCCCTGGGAGCACACCTGGAGGCTGCGTCCGCCACCGGGCAGCCAGCGGGTCCTGAGCCCCACACCCCACCGGGCAGGAGCCACTAATTCCTTAATGAGAGCTGACGGGCTGCTTGGGCCAAGCCTGCCCAAGCGCATTAGCAGGGGGAAGTCACCCCTCTGCAGGCAGCGAGCTGCCAGTGGGCAGCAGAACGTGCTGGCTAGTGCAGGCAGCCCTTGCAGGCAGCCCTGCCAGGCTGCAGGCACTGCCTGCTTTGCGCCGGCAAGGGCTGAGGTGAGGATGGAGGGAGCCAGCGGTGCCACGGCCACCAGCGATGCCACGGGCAGTGCTGTGCCCACAGAGGCAGCCAGGCGCACTCAGGGCCACGAGCAAGGCAGTGCCGCACTTGACATCCCAGCTCCTGCCAAGGCCGCGTGCACGAGTGCCTCGCATTACCCTAGATGGCCAGGAGCAGATAAAAGCACTTGAAGAGCTGCACACACAGGGCTGCCTCCTGTGCACACTCAGCCCCAGCACCTGGGGGGGATCCACGTCCTGCTCTCCCCCCAAAACAGAGCAGAGGAAATTTTTTTTTTTTTTTTTCCCTCCCATTGCACCGAAGAATCCTTCCCAGGCCAGGTGGGCTGGGGCTGCCACTCTGCTGTCAGTTTGGGATTGCAAAGCGGCAGGACCCCAGCCTGTGGCCCCAGGGTGAATCAGAGACCCTTGGGGATCCCCTGCTAGACAGGTTGGCGATGGGTTTTTCCCTGAGCTACTGCTGCCCTAAAAAGTGTTTAAAACAGAGGGAGACCCACAAAAGGCTCCCAGCCCACCTCTCCCCCACTCCTTGAGTGTCTCCATACACAGTGCCACAGTGCAGGGGGCTCGTGTGGCTGGGGCTGTGCATCCACACATTGTTAAATTGCCTCATAAAAGGAAAAACCAAAACAAAACAAACTGAAACAACAGACAACAGCCAGAGCCTCCGGACTGGGCTGCCAGCACCAACCCGCCTCCACCTTGGTCACTGCTCCCCCCCACCAAGCCCAGGACCCCCCAGACCATGCCCAGGGTGGGGCATGGCCCCAGGGCACCCAGCCCCTCTAGGCACTCACCTTGGTGACATTGCTGCTGATGCTGTTGATGCTGCAGACGCTGCTGGGGACAGCGGTGATGCGGATGGGGGTGCTCCGCAGCCCCAGGGTCACCTCTGCAAGGGGAGCAAGGGGCACGCAGGGTTTGTCCCAGCCCCAGCCCAGCCCCACGCCTGGGGACCGGCTCTGGCCAGGCTGCCTGGCTGCTGCACGCATCCTGCCTCAGCGATGGGCACTGAGCTCCGACCCAAGGGAAGGGCTCTGGGGCCAGCCAAGGGACAGGGAAGCCAGGCACCCCCCCTCGCCACCCTGGCTCAGCCTCCTGCCCAAGGAAGGGCACTTTCCGCAGCGCTCCAGCCAGAGCCAAGACCCCCTCTGGCGCAAGGGATGGCCCCGGGAGCATCTCGAGCCAGCCACATCTGCGGGCAGGCAGGGCTAGATCAGGGGCAGGGCTGGATCAGAGGCTGTGGAGCAGCAGGAACTCCCCTGGAACAGCAGGTTAGTGGGGACAAAGCATGAACATGGGGCAGGAACTCCCCTGGAACAGCAGGTTAGTGGGGACAAAGCATGAACACGGGGCAGAGGATGGGGCAGGGGCTTAGGGAAGGACCTCAGGCATGAATGTGGCAGGACAGTGGGGCTGGGGACAGGCTGCAGGGCCAGATGGCATTCCAGTACCGAGATGCTCTGAGCAGGCTGAGCATCCCTGCCAAAGGGCGAGGGCTGCCAGGCACGCTCCTGCCCATGGCCTCCGCTCTTCTGGCAGCGCCCGCGCTCAGCCGCTGGGCTGCCAGCGCCCAGATGTCACTTCTGCTGCTGACGCGTCCCCATCAGTACCTGACTGGCCTATCTCTAACCCACCTGCCCGCGTGCCCTTAACCCCCCACCACCCCGCCAAGCGCTTAACTGCCCACCGTCTGCTCTACTGCCTGACCGCACCCAGCGTCCCATCACAAGCGCCGTCCCACGGCGCTTACGGCCCCGCCAGCACCCACCTGCCCGCTGTACACACCGCCCCTCCGGTGCCCACCTTGCCCAGGCCCACCTCCCCGAGCGATGCCCACTCGTGCCCACTACCCCCCCCCCCGCCCATCTTCCCAGCGGGTGCCCCCTTTTTCCCCCGCCGCCCGTCTTTCCCGCTCCCACCGCCCTCGCCCCCCCCCGCCCCAGCGCCCACCTGAGCGCTGACTGCCGGGGGTGGCCGCGCCTCGGGGGGCGAGGGGCTGCAGGCGCCCATCCTTGATCTCGATGGTGAAGAAGGTCTTCATGCCGTCGAGGCCGGGGCCGGCGGGGACCGGGGCCGGGTGCCGCTCTGCTGCTCCGCCGCCGCCGCCGCCGCCCCGCGCGTTTTGAGCGGGCCCCGGCGGGGCCGTGCGGGGCCCCCGCTGCCATTGGCCGGGCCCGGCCCGCCCCCCCGGGCCGCCCGCCCCCGCCGGGCCGCCCGCGCCCGCTCCCGCGCCCGCTCCCGCTCCCGCCGGGCCGGGGGCCGGGCCCGGGCCCGCGGGGGTGAAGCGCTGGGCGCGCTCCCGCACGGAGCCGGCCCGCGGCGGGGGCCTGCCGGGGCTTTGCTCTGGGGGGGGGGGGGGGGGGGTGTCACCGGGGCCGCAGCGACCCACGGGTAGCCCCCACCACGCGTGCATGTGCCCACCACGCGTGCTGCCCTGCCCCTCGGGGTGCCCACCCCCCACTGGCAGTGCCCTGCCACGCGTGCAGCACCCACAGTGCCTGCGTGATGCACGTTGCCCCCCCCCCAGAACCCCCACCGCACACGCAGCCCCCCCCCCCCGGGTGCCCTGCCAGGCACGCTGCCTCCCCCCCCCCCCTCCCGGAGTGTGGCTGCAGCTCTTCAAAGCTTCTGCCGCCGCTTTCTGCGGGGGCCTGGCTGCTGGTGCCCACGGGTGGGACGGGGTGGATGGATGCTGGGCAGGGGGTGAGGAAGCCCCTGCAGAGCTCCACGCCTGCCCAGACTCCACTGGGGACCTCCTGCCACGGGGAAGCAGAACACGCAGAGGCAGCCGTCACCGGGACCTTACCCGTGGAGCCAGCTGGGCGCAGGGAGGAGGGCGCTTGCTCCCACCGGTGAGTGTTCAGGCGACCCGTGTCCTGGGTGGGCACCGCCACTTGGGAAGGGACGGGTCAGATATGCAAAGAACAGGACAAGGGGAGCAGAGGGTGAGCATGGCACAGGGTGCTGTTGCCATCCTCACCCAGCACAGCACCCTGGGATCCCCCTCTGTCACCCCACGCTCCCCAGAGCAGAGTGTCAAAATCCACCGGCACTTGCAGGCTGCACTACACCCCAGGCAGCTGGCTCTGCCCTGCAGTGCCAAACCACGCTGTAGAGGAGGGCAAGGCAGAGATTGGGGTACCCATGCCCTGGCGGGGCAGTGAGTGCTACCTGGGGTCTGGGCCAGAAGATCAGGATCACCCTTGCACCCATCAGACCCTAGCAAAGCGGGGCCAGCCCTGCACCACCTCTGGAGAGGGGGCCCAGGGGCTCAGCCCCCCACCCAGGGAGCACCCAGGGTACAAGCAGGCACCAAACAGGCAGTGCAGTGCTCTGGCCTGGGGCCAGAGTCGCCCATGCCCAAGTGCCGGGGCTCAGCCTTTCCCCAGCACCCGAGTTTGAGCCCCCAGGGTGAGGCGAGGGGGTTCAGCTCCTGCACGATTCTCTCTGCCGCGCTGCAGCCCAGCCCTCCCGCCACCCCCCAGCATCTCCACAGGGTTTCTGCCTTCCCAGAAGCCAGCAGCCCTCCAAGGCTTCTTGGTGGGAGGGGACCTCCATCTGCAAGGGTGGCTCCCAGTGAGAACCCTGACTCTGGGGGCAGAGCTGCTTTCTGTTTTTTTTCCCCTCGTTTTCTCCCGGCACGGCTGCAGGGTCAGTTTTTCCAGCAGTAGGAAGAAGGCAGCTGCTGGTCACTGCGATCCCTCAAGGCTGCGGGGAGGACCTGGAGGGTGCTGGGCCCCAGCTGGGCCAGTGAGTGCAGCCCTGGGGGGGGGTCGGGGCCAGCCAGCATACGGCTCCCGGCCTTATTGGGACAAAGAATGCAAAAGGCTGGGGTTTGCTGCCGGCACCAATTCCCTTTCATGGCCCTGCTGCCGCCCAGCCTGGAGCTGGGGGACTGGTAAACAGCCCGCCTGGCACCCCGCTTCCCCAGCACCCAGCCGGGGCAGGCACCACCGCCACACGGCTGGGCAGCAAATGGTCACCAGCTGGAGACGGCCCTTGGCACGGCCACGTCTCGCCCTCGCATTCCTGTCCCAGCCCACATGGGCTTAAGTCACATCCCCAGGTCTGACACCCTTCCCTGTGCCGCAGGGCGGGGGGGGGGCGACGGGGGGGTCCCCCGGGGCAGCACTGCCCAAGCTGGGGGCAGGGGCCGCGGCCCCAGCCCTCCCGCCCCACGCAGCTGCACTCACCCACTGGTGGCTCCCCGCGCCTCCCGGCCAGCCCTGGCACTGGGCTGCGTACCCTGACACCAAGCTGCAGGGAGATAAAAAGGCAAAGCAGTCAGCTGGGGGGGCCACGCACACCCCCCCACCTCCACGCCGTCAGGCTGCCTTCACTCACAGGACTGCCAGCCCCCGGCAAAGAGCACAGCGGTGGCCCCAGCCTGGGCTACCAGTTCTATACCTGGCTGATCCGGCTGCCAGCACTGGGCTGGCCGGGGGGGGGCTGCTCCACCTGGTGACTTTGCCCCCCACTGGGCTCCGGGGCGGTGGCAGGGCTGTCCAGGCTCCCTTCCTTCCAGGCTGCCTGGTGCTGCACCTCGGGCTGGGCAGCAGCCGTGAAGCATGTCTGGCCCTGCTCTGGCTCCTCAGCACCATCTTTGGGCTCCGGACCGTGCTCTGGGGTCGGCTGCAGCTCCAGGAGCACGAGGGTCCCCGAGACTATGGCTGCAAGAGAGAGAAGAGGCTCGCACGGGGGAAGCCTGTGGCTACCTGCAGAGCAACCCTGCTCCCGCCGCCCCACCAGGCACCCACCTCCCCTGCCCGCCCTTTTGGGAGATGCCGTGCTCCATCCCCCCGCCTCTGCCTGCAGCTGGCCCTGGTGCTGCTCTGGCCCCGGGCACACCCCCAGATGGGGCTTTTCCACCAGCGTTTGCGGGGACTCACCCTGGGTGCTGGGTTTCTGGGGGTCTCCTGTCTGCTGGCTGCGTAGCTCCTGCATGCCAGCCGGGACAAGCTCCTGCTCCGCTGCGTTGTCTTGCTTGTGGGCCTGGGGAGAGCAGGGGTGAGAGCAGGGCCAGCCCCATTCCAGCCTCTGACCGGGTCACCCTGTCCCATCCCTGCCACCCAGCCAGGGGCACGCCACAGGACGTGGCCTTTTTCCATGCCACCCAGGTCTCTGCTTGGACGCTGCCAGGGATGGACAAACCATCCCCCTGCACAGGGGTCACTGCAGGAGGCTGGCAGGGGGACAAGTGTCCCCACACCCCACTGCCTCCATCAGGCAGGGAGGAGGATGCTGTGCCCACTGAAGGGGAGGCCCAAACCCCGTGCACCCCTGGGGCTCCTGGCACTCCTCTGTGTGGGGCATGCAGCAAAGAGCTGGCTCTTGGGTTCCTCTGTGGCCTCTGCCATGAGCACGCCAGCCTCGTCCAGCATGGATGCCAGGAAGTATGAGGAGAGGACAGCCCCTCCCCAGTGCCCCTGTCCCCTCCTGCCCCCCCAGCCCAGGCACCTCAGGGCTCTGTGAGGCAGGAACCACCCAGTTTTGCATCACCCTGTCCCTGCCCACAGCACCAGCAGCTCTACTCAGCAAACAAGGGGATGCTCTGAGTGCAGGACCACACGTAGGTTACAGGTATGACCCTGACACACACCTGAGCAGGGCCAGGGTGTCACCAGCCAGGGCACTGTGGGATCCAGGTGCTGATGTGATTCCAGGATAGGGGAAGGAGGAGAGAGGCCCGTATCCTGAGGGGGCACAGGGGAACCAGGACCCAAACCCGCCAGGCAGCACTGTAGCTGATGTTTAAGGGAAACGGCCTCGGGTTTGGAGTAATCAGCTAGTCAGAGTGGGACAAACGCACTGACTGCTCAGGAGATGTCCCAGCGTGGCCAGGACCAGAGGCAGTGTGCCAGCACGTCCGGATGGGAAAGGCAGAGGGTGTTGAAAGGTAGCACAGGGCCACATCCCCCCTGTAGCCTCTTGCCATGGCCCTGGGGCAGGCAGAGGGCGAAGCTGGGCTGAATGGAGGCAGGTGCAGGGACCCAAACCTTCCTGCTCAGCTGTGGTTATAACCACTGCTTTTCTCTTCACACTCTCCCCCAAAGGGCAACCCCACCTGGTGTCTCTGCAGGGACCTGCTACCGCCACAAGCGCCGCAGTCCCCTGCGGGGTCCCCACTTCTGCACAGGTAACCCAGGCTTGCGCCCATTCCTTCCAGCTCATCCTTCCTCTGGCCAGAGAGCCCCCACCACGTCTGGTGGGCACCAGCCTCACTCCACCAGCGTGAGCCCCAGCCCCTCAAGGGCCAGCAGGAAAAAACAGCATGGGGGGTGGCACCAGGGGATCAAGGTTTCTGCCTGTGCAAGGGGACGGATGCAGGCAGCTGCCGCAGGCAGAACAAGTGGCCGTCACCTCCAAAGAGCACCATCCCCACAGAGCTGCAGAGGGAAAGGGTGCACCAAGTGCACTGAGGTGCCCCACAGACCCCCTTGCCTGCAGCACTCGCGCCCAGGCTGCATCCTCAGGGAGAAGCCCAGGGGCACCCAGGCCCGAGCCCCCAGCCCCAGCTCCCCACTGCTGGGGCCACGTTGGCACAGCCCAGCCACATCCCCCATGTCCCCAGAGACCCCAGCTTCACCCGTCCCAGCCCCTTTGGGTGGGCGAGCCCAGCACGCTCAGGAGTCTGTGCCCCAGGCAGGCTGGCACAGGAGTTCAAGGGAAGGGCGAGGAAGTGTTCAGTGGTTCTGTCCCCCCAGCAGTGCCCTGCACACTCACCACTGAACCTTTGGGTTCCTGGGCAGGGGGTTGCTCTGCAGCCCCCCCGTCACTGCTCTCCTCCGGCCCAGCCAGCGCCGGCTGCTCTGCATCATCCTGCTGGCTGCTCTCCCCACTCCCGGTCGTGGCCAGGGGCTCGGTGCTGTCCTCATCACAACTCTCCTTGCTCCCAGCCAAGGCTGGTAGCTCAGTATCACCCCTCTGGCTGCTCTTCCTGCTCCCAGGCAGAGCTGGCGTTTCAGCATCGTCCCTACGGCTGCTTTTCGTGTCCCCAGACACAGGGCGAGGCTTGCTGTTGTTCCTCTGGCCGCTCTGTGTGTTCCCAGCCAGGGTTGCAGCTGGATGGGAGCAAAGGCAGTGTTTAGAAAGGAGCTGCCCACGTCCCGGGCTCTCTGGGGTAGCCACCCTAAGATGCGGGGACAGTGTCTCACCTTCAATCTCCTCAGCCCGCAGCTTGCGGATGGCAGCTCGGATCAGTTTGCGCTCCTCGTACTCACCCGCCGCCCGCAGCTGCAAGAGGGACAGACCCAGGAGAGAAGCACGGTCACCCCAGCACACAGTCAGCCCCAGCACACGGGCACTCACCAGTTTTGTCAGCTCCTCCACATCGGTGATGGCTTCAAGCTGCTGGGACAAGGCAGCCAGGGCTGTCTGCTGCTGCTCCTCCTCCAGGTGCCGGGATCTGCACAGGGGTGAGAGCAGCCAGCCGGGAGCTGCTGTGGGTGCTTGGGAGCAAAGTCCCCTTGTAGGCAGCCGGCAAATCCAGGCAATGGGCCCCCCTCCCACATGCCAAGCCGCTCGCCACCGGACTGCCCCCACTCTCGCACCCACCCAAATCCGTCCAAGCCACAGCGGGGCCGGGCGTCGAAGCCGCTGTCTCCCGGGGCAGAAGCCGGGGGTGAGCAGGACCCCGGCCCCACGCCAGACTCACCGCGGCCAGTTCTCCTTGTCGTCCTGCCGGTGGGTGCCACGCTCTGGGCGGAAGCGCTTGGACGCCAGCGCCTCCTCGTCCCGCTCCAGCTCCTGCCGCTGCAGCTCCCTGATGGCCGAGCGGATGCGGCGCCGCTCGGCCAGATCCAGCGTTGCCTCCAGCTGGGTGCGACAGGGCCGGGCTCAGCGCCGGGCTCAGCGCCGGCTCCAGCCACCGCGGCCCCCCCAGCTCAGGCCTGGTGCCGCCCGGGCCGGGCTGCCCACGCGCCGCACACAATGGAGCCGTCTGTGCGGCGGGGCCCACGCGCGCGGGGCACGCTGCCCAGCACTGCCTGGCCCCGCAGGGAGCGGGCACGGACCCCCCCCCGGGGAGCCAGGGCAAGGAGGGGCTGCCGTGGTGGCACCGAGACCTCCAGCCGGCGAGGAGGCAGGTGTGTATGGCAGCAATGTCTGCCTGCCAGCGGTCCGTGCAGCCCTCAAGGGTCAGTTCCCTGCAGCCCTGCGCCCCTCCACACAACCAGCTCCCACCCACGCCAGACCCTCCAGCAGCAGGGAGGGAGGGGACAGCAGAGTCTGTTCCCCTCCCATCCCCAAAGCCCCCAGGAGGTGCTGGTCGGGAGGGTCCCAGCACCCCACCGAGGAGAGGTCCCCCACCTGCAGCCCTCCCCACCTTCACCCAGTGCTAGGGGATGGCAGGCAGCTCTCGGAGCCAAACCTGGGCAGGATCTGTCCTAAATCCAAGCCCAGCCTTCTGTATGTGGAAAGCACAGCCATGACCTCCCCACAACTCCCCCATGAACATCTCATGGGTGCTCCTCAACCTAAGGCCACACACCAGGACCTGATATGGGCACCCAGAGCTTGCTTCCCCTCTTCCAGATCAGGTCCACAGCCCCAGCCCTGCCACCAGCCCAAGTGCTTTGAGGAGACCGTGTACATGCCCCCCCTGCACTGCAGGGAGGCAGAAGGTGGCCAGATCTGCAGAGAAAGGCCAGCCAGGGCAGGCACGGCCCCACTGTCCTCCCACTGTCCCGCTGTGGGACATCATGACCAACCCGGCGCTGGGAACCCAGGAGGTGATTTCCCATGGAGCCTGTTAAAAATAAACCCTGTGACCCACAGCAGCTGCCCGGCAAGTCAAGCCCCAGCATGCTGGGAACAGCTGAGGCTGCGCCGCAGGACAAGAGCATCAGTCCCCTCCCTTCTGGTCCCATGGGCCACTGCCAGGCCACCCATCCGGGTTCTCCAGGTTCAGCTGCAGCAGGAATCCGGGGTTGGCCCCTCAGCTGGACCCAGGCTGAGCAGCGCCAAGGGGCCCAAACCACCACCTGCCCGCAGAACCCCCCTGCACAAGGTCCCCAGTGAAGCCATTGCCCGTCGCCCCCCCCTGTTCAGAGTTTGGGGATCACGGGTGGATATTTCCATCTCGGTGAAGTCAGCAGGCACAGAGACACCAGGAACCACCCCAGTGGCAGCCAAAACCATGGTCCTTCAGCCTCTGTCTGCCTTAAGGCCCTGCTGGGAGCATTATCCTTCCTGAGCCAAGACGACTCCATCGGGCTGCTCGGCAGTTGGGACCACCGACCCCCAGGATCACTGGCCTCTGCCCAGCCCAGCGCTGAAAATGCATGCCACCTCGGGGCCAGCTGCTAGCAGCTGGGGTGCTCCCTCCCACCCTGGCAGCCCCTGTCACGTCCGCTGGCAGTGCTATCCCTCCCAGCATGCTGCAGTCGGTTATCGCATCCCACAGCGGTGCAAGCATCTGCCTCCTGGATGGAGCCGGGGCCTGCAATCCCCAGGATCTTAGAAGAGCTGGAGCCACTGCGCTGCCAGGGCAGGGGCATGTAGGGGGGGGAAACCAGCCCCTCCACCCACATGGGCCTCCCCTGTCCCATCTGCACTCGGCCTGCCTGCACCCTGGGGATGCTGCTGCAGGCAGGGACGGGACGCTGGCTGCCAGGACAAAGGCAGGAGACAGGGCCTTTCCCTGTGATGCTCCAGCAGAGACAGCAGCAACCCTGGTCGGCTGGGAAGCCCAGCTCCACTGTGCACGGGGCGGCGGCAATGGGCTGGGGGAGCAACGGAGCCTGGTCCAGCCCAAAAGGAGGGGCTGGAAGCAGAGGCCCCGTGGCAAACACAGCTCTCCCTACAGCCGTGCAAAGGCCTTGAGGACAGAAAAACACTCCTCTGCTGCATGCCAGGAGGCCAAGGCTCTGGCCCTTCCCTAAATAAGCTGCCGGCTGTACATGGCTCGACACTGGCAGCCAAGTCAGGGCAACTGGGGGTGGCAGCAGCTGCAGGAACCAGGTGCACTGGGAAGTGTGGGGACACAACAGGACATCATCCCTGCACATCCCAGAGCAGGGGACACCCTGGCACCCATACGCTGCATGATATTTGCCTGCCAGCTCCAGGGTCTGCCTTGCCCAGGAGGCTCCAGCTGTGACCTGACTTGCACCCAGGTCCTGGAAGCCTTCAACCCACAGGAAAAACTGCAGCAGGGCAGGAGGAAGAGCCTTGTCCCAAACCCACGTCAGCAGGGAGCCAGGATGAGGCAAATGAGTGGCTTTGAAGGCTTCATGGCCAGCAGCAATGGGGAGCGTGCCCGAAACCACAGCTGGAGCCAGGGGGCAGGAAGGGGCTGCGGGGCCCAGCCCTGCTGGCACATGCCAGGGCCCCACCAGCCCTGCCCCGCCAGTGGCGAATTAACGGTTACAAGCAAGCGTCTAGCTCAGCACACAGACAAAGTGGCTTTGTGGAAAAGGTGCTGGCAAGGCACCCCTGGTCTGCTTTCCCAATGATGCCCAAGCACAGCAGTGTTCAGAGCCCCAGCGCGGCCGGCAGCTCCTTCGGGAGTGCCATAATTAGCCTTGCATCCACCCAGTTCCCCGCAGCAGCTGAACACAGAGTACTTGGGAGACTGAAGCTCAGCCACAGGGAAACTGCTCTGGGTACAAAACTCAAGCACATCAAGCACCTCCTGCAGCCCCTAAGCTTCGCTATCGCCTTTGGAAGGAGCCGCAGAAAGCACAGCTGCCTCCCCAGCAGAGGAAAGCAGGAGGGACAGCTGGGTGACGGGGATATGGCAGAGATGCAACACTCCTCAGAGCCATCGAAGCCTTTCCCAGGCCACAGCATGTAAAAAGAAGGGGACCTCGTGGTTGTGACTTTCCTAGCTCAAGCCTGCTCTGCCTCTGCCTGCGAGGCAATTTGCATCCTGCCTGTCTAATTAACCAGGCTGACATCTGGAAGGGATGGGAGAGGGGAGCAATCCCCAGCCTGGGGCCAGCAGACCGCAACCTGGAGCTCAGCACAGCCCCAAGTGCTCAAATAAGCCCCAGCTTCCAGACAACCAGCTAAGGGCCATGCTGCAGCAGCACCCACTCCATTCCCCGCAGCTCTCTCCCCAAGCCCTTGGTCACCTTCATGCTGCACCCAACTGGCCTCCCCAGGACTTGAGTACAGGCAGGCAGCTCGGGAGGGAACTGTGCGGGTGCCTGTAGGAAGGAGATGGGGGCAGAGCTCCCCAGCAGCTCCCAGCCCAGCCAGCACAATAACAGTCCTGGAGAAGGGGCTGCAGAGATCTGCTCGCATCCCCCAGACTCCTTCTTCCAGGACCCTCAGGGACTTCACACACTGTTGCTGAGGTCTCACTTGCAGGGAGAAAGGAGGAGGAGAAGCAGCCCAGAGCCGAGGGCTGGGGAGAGCCGAAGAACAAGGAGGAAGCAGTGGGAGAGGCAGTTTTCCCTTATATGGGCTAATCCTCTTCCAGCTGAGTGGAGCCAAAACCCAACCAGAAAGAAAAATAATTCCTTCCCTGCCTCACGTCAGCTGGGAGCAGGCTTTCCTCAGCCCTCACTGCGTAGTCACAGGGGAACCCAAGCTGGGAGCTCTGCGGATTGAAAGCTCTAGTGGGTCAAAGACAAAGCCCCAGGGAGAAGCAACACTTGCAGCACAGGCAAGATCTGCCTCCCCACAGACCCAACACCTACCCCATCACCTCTCCTGGTGCTCTGTCTCAGCCCAGAGACCTCAGCTGGGACATGGCAGAGCTGCGGCACTGGCAGGACAGGGAGAAACCCAAACCACCCATCCTCACACCTCCAGGGCCCCTGTTGGCCCCGATGTCACCCCACAGAGAGCAGTGGGCTTCTCAGCCCACAAAAAACCAGGCAGGTCTGCACATTGCGATCCCGAGCAGGCTGAGGATGGCGCACCGGGAGGTTCTGGCAGGGCAGCAGAGCCCCCCTCCTGACCCCCTGCCCATGGCATGGCGCAGCTCCTGCCTCCCGCGGCTGCCGCAGCATCCCGACTCTTTCCTGTTCCCACAGACGTGCCTTCCCGGCTGACTCAGCTTCCTGCTGTAACCACTGCCCAGTGTCAGCTGGGGCCACCCCGCGCTCAGCCCCTGGGGCTCCCAGCAAAGCCGTGGCCCCTGGCCCGGAGCTCGTGGTGGCCCAGGGCTGGAGGGGAGGTGGCAAGGCTGCCTGAAGCCTCGTAGGGCTTTGTAGGGCTTCCTGGCACAGCAGCCCCTGCCTGAGCAGGTCAGAGCCCAGCACCCAGAGTCCCACCTTTGGGACACACGGGCACTCATCCCCCACAAGCCCACCTGGCCCCGGCAGCCGCGAGGCCAGGGCTCGGCTCCAGGTTCTTATTCCCGGGGAAACAAACGGAGCCGGAAAGTGTTTTGGCCATTACTCCGGCAGCTGCCACCCAGACATGCCAGCACAGAGCCCGGGGAGCATCCCATGGCACCAGGCCAGCCTCAGGCAGCGCAGGAGCAGAGGCGCGAGCCAAACGGCAGCCTGCACCGGGGGAGCGGCGAGCAGGTAACCGAGCCGGCAGCAGGAAGGGCCTCAGGCGGGAGCCACCAGCCGGGATGGGGCCGCCTGACAGCTGCTACAGCCCAAGCACGGGGGCGAGCGAAGGGCCAGGCGTTGGCCACCGCAACAGGGACGGATCCTCTGGAGCCACCGAAGCTGGACGGGGGCTTGTGCTAGAGCTCACCCGTGACAGAGCTCCGACCCCGGCCAGCCCGGGGGGGGGGGGGGGGGGGTGGGCAGCACCGCAGCAGCTCCGCGGGGGTCAGCCCGGGGAGCCGGAGCGGGGCGGAGGGAGCCGGGCACACAGCGCCGGGCCCCGTCCCGTCCGGTCCCGTCCGGTCCCGTCCCTTCCCGCCGCGCGGACTCACCAACTTCCGCAGAGCTCCCTCGTCCATGCCGAGGAAGTTCTCCTGGGACATCCCGCCCGCCCCGGGGCCGGGGCCCGCTCGCAGGTGCCGGCCGAGGACTCGGCAACGGCCGAGACAACAAAGGGCGGCCGGGGCGGCGCGGCCCCACACCCGGCCCGGCCCGGCCCGCGCTCCGGCACCACCGCGGCCGCCCGCTAAGCGCCCCGCCCCGCCCACCGCCGGCGCCTGCCGCCGCCATTGGGTCTTTGCGCGGGGGGGGGCGGTCCGGCCCCGCCTCGCCCCGCCCACCGCCGGCGCCTGCCGCCGCCATTGGGTCTTTGAGCCGGGGGGGCGGTCCGGCCCCGCCTCGCCCCGCCCCCCTCCCCGGCGCGGGGGCGGCACCGTGCCCGGGATCGCCGCCGCCGCCGCCGCCGCCGGAGGATGGGGGGGGGGGGTTCCGGTGTCCGCGCCGGTCCTGGCCCCTTAGCCGAGCCACCGCGGGGTGCCCTGCGGATCGGGGCTCCCTCCCGCCCCGCACGGAGCCCGGTGAGCCCCCGAGCGGTCCCGGTGCACCTGGCTGCTCCCCCGCGGGCGCGGCCGGCGCAGCCTTTCCCGACAGCTTTTAGCAAACCCCCAAGCGTGGGCGCAGTCTGCGCCCCCCGCCCCTCCCCGGGGCCCGGCTCCCGCCCGCTGGAGAAGCTGCTGCACCCTCAGCTTGCAGGGTGTGGGGCTGGAGGACTGCTCAGCACCTCCCGCATGGGGCTCTCCCCCCACCGCGCCTGGGGGGAGATCACACTATGGGGAGCATCCCCGCATGCTCTGTGGGGCTCCTTTTAGCCTCTTGCTGACGCCTCTGCAAGATGAATTACCAGGGCACTTCCAGAGTTCCCCACCCTGCAAGGGCTTCCAGGGGACGTGGCTGCGTTGCTCCACACGGTCCCGGTGATCTCTCACACTCAGGAGCTGCTTGTGGTGCCCTCAGCCCTCCCTGGCCCTACACAGTCCAGCAGGACTCTGGTTTGGGCCGTATCTCTCAATCCGACTTCTGCTGCCCCAAGACAGGGTATAAATACTCCTGTGTCACGCACAGTGGGCTCCTTCCCAGCCAGGGGTGGGAGCAATGGGGAATGTAGGGGCTTGGGGAGGTATATATTCCTCCGGGCTCCTGTCCTGTCCCAGATGGCAGTTCCAGAAGGATGGCCAAGCCCAGGTGGAGAGAGGATCCTGTGGAGACCCTGAGCTCTCCACCTGCGAGGGTGCAGCCCTTCTCAGCAAATGAGACTTGGTAGGGCTCAATCCTGATCCTGGGTGAAGGGCAGAAGTACTCCCTGTAGCAGACCAAGCCTGGCCCACTCCAATCGCCTGGAGGTGCTGTGGGCTCTGCAGAGCAGGCAGTGGGCACCTGCTCCCAACTCCTGGGAGGCAGAGGTGCTGCCCCCCCATCCAGTCTGGCAGCCCAGAGACCGAAGGGCTTCCCCAGAGCAGGTCACTGAGATCCAGGTCACTGCTCCTCTGGGAGTTTCCAGCTCTCTGGGGAGCTGCGCGGGATGGAGTAGGACCACAACCTCTGCCACAGGGGACGACCCACCACTACTGGCCAAAAAAATGGGGGTGGTGGAGGTGCCTAGAGTGTCCAGATTTGTCCGTGTTGGGAGTGTTGTAGGTTCAGATGTCCCACTCCAGGCCTTGCTGACAGTGTGGGTCTCCAGCCAGGCTGGATTCCCAGGGTCTTCTGCTCCCTGCTCCCCTTGGGTCCCTGGCAGCTCTCTGCTCTCTGGCCCCGAGCACCATCGGGCTTTGCTGGAGCATGATGGTCCCTTCCCAAGCAACTGTGCTAAAGCCAACCCCTCTGAGCATGTGCCACCCAACAGGTCCTTCCTATCCCTCTGCCAGCCTCAGAAACAACATGTTCTTCACTTGCTAGATGAGCCCCGTGTTGTTGGGTCGCCACGTGTGCCATGCAGGGGTCTCCGCTGCTGCAGCTCTGCTTTGTTACACAGCCCTTTGGCTGAGGTTGTGCCTGGGGAGCAGACAATGGGTGCATATCCACATCCAAGCCATCGGGCAGCACAGCTGGAAGCAGCTCTCTTGCCTTCCCAGTGTGTGTGGGACTCCGCTGGCAACACTGAGCTGCTTGGGGCGCAACTCTTGTTCCACAGCCCCTTTGCCAGCAGCAGCACTGGGGCAATGGCACCAGATCCTGGTGTTTGGCTTCCTGCACAGTGCACCCAGTTGCAGAAGCATGCTGAGCTATGCTGATAAGGCAGCCACAGATGCACAGCTCTCAGCACATGCAGCAGTATTTATCCTGCCTCTGATCCCACAGGTCTACACCTCTCCTGGTTTCATTCACCACAGACAGTGACCCAGCCACATCCTCACAGACTCGGAACGAAGAGCCAGCGCAGCAGGGAGCCCACAGCCCTGCTCTGCGCCATGCAGTGTCTTTGTGGAGCTCCCCAGGGTGTGAGGTGTGCGTGCATCCAGCTGAGTGTAGCCTTGAAGAAGCAGACCTCCTTATTCCTGTGAAAATGGAGTCAGGGTAGATTTACAAACGCCTCGGGGAGCACAGAGCCTCTGGCTTCAGGCCTGCCTTTGGGGAGTGCAGGGAGGGCTGCAGGCTGCTGACCAGCACATTGACACCAGGCAGGTGCGGGTATGATCTCACCCGCTTGCAGAAATCACAGGGCACTGTTGTGTGCCGGTGCAGGCAGGCGTATTGCCCAGCAGATGGGACAAACCTGCACCAAGGAGCAGGGGCCTAGGTGGGCACAGGGGGGCTGGTCCCTGGGGGCTCCCCCAGCCAGGGGTTAAGCACAGCAAGGGGAGGAGGGTCAGGAGTCCTTTAGGTTCCCCTTGTAAATGCTAAATATAATGTTAAATACTAGTGATGGAATTTTATTGTGCCAGCATGTGTCTGGGACTGGTCTGGACCAGGGGTTGGGGACACCTGCCTGACTCAAGGGTGGGATGATGCAGACCGGGTTAGGGACCTGGCTGCAGTGCTAGGCAAGATTTCAGTCTCTTTTGAGCCCGTGGCCTTTGCCCTGGGCATGTCAGCAGAAAGGAGTGGAGGGGCAGGTGTCACACTGCTGTCCTGCCCATGCCACCCGGGCAGCAGAGATCCGCAGGCAGCACAGGGCTACACAGGCTGCCGGAGCCCTGGCAACGGGGACAGGAGTGTCCTTGGACTCCCATCTCCTCCCTCCTTCTGCCTGCTGCAGCAGCACACGGGACCTTTTCTGGCCTCATCCCTCCTCCCCTGGGAACACTCGATACCCACAGACCTGTGTTGTGCACGCCCTCCCCACACCCAACACTTTGTGACCACTCCCAGGGTCACAAATTGGCTGGACCTGGTGGGCCCCCTCTCCCAGAGGAAGCCAGGGAGGGGGGACCTGTCACTCCAGGGGGACGCTTGGACTAGGCATCCCCTGGCTGACAAAAGCAGTTGGACATGCTCAGAGAGGAGGGGGAGGAGAAGGGGTAAAACAGCTCTTGGCTTCACTGCACCAAGCTGTTTGCCTGTGGCAAGCACAGGTGTAGCCTGATGCTGCCACTCCTCTGTATGCCAACACCAGGGCAGCTCCTGTGGAGCATGGTGCTATTATAAACAGTGACATCATGCTGGCCGAGTTTTGAGACTCAGAGCTGCTTCCCAAAGCACCCCAAAGCAAGGCGGCCCTGGCAGTGCCCAGCACCTGGGCAGGGGAGAAGCTCCTCTGACTCTGGGGCTGCAGGAGCAGCAGGGCTCTCTGTGGCTCCTTCTCCTCCTCTTTCTGCTGGAGAATGCACCCTTGGGTGTGAGATGTGCCATGATCTGCCCAGACAGCAGGTCTCAGGGCACCATGTAGCTGGGTTCGCGCTGAGACTGACATGAAGACAGGCCAGAGCAGCAGGACCTGGGGGTGGATGTAGGACTGTCCCCACTTGGAGAGGTGGCAGGACCTGTGGGTGGGTGCACCCCACAGAGATGTGGCAGCACAAGGAATGGGTGAAGGGCTGCCCCCCAGCTCTCCTCCTGGGGTGTGGATGCAGGCTGGGCAGGGTAGGGTGGGTGGCTGGGGGGGACACATGGGAGGGTGTCCGTGAAGCAGTGGGAGAGGACAGCAGCATGGCTCTGCTGCAGCCTGACCAGCCACAGGGACCATCCACCTGCACAGAACCGATGAACTGGTGCCATCTGCTTAGAGCAGGGCACTCATGCCCCCATTTCTCAGGTGTGACTCATGTCCTGCTGGGAACCAGGGCAGGATCGGGTGTGATGGATTCCTCACATCCTGCTGCTGGCACAGGCACCAGGCATTCTCCTGCCTGCCCTGGGGGTGCTGCATCACCTGGGATGGGAAGGAGCTGTGTGACAAGCAAGGTCCCACTTCTGGGGTGCTACACAGCCTGAGGAGGAGCAATGCTGTTGTGGGCACTGAGGACTCCAGTTGTCATGCCTGGCTGGCACATATGGGAACGAGCATGCAGAAAGCATGCATCACTTCTATGAGCTAGAAGCAGTTTCCCCCAGGTGTGGATCTCCAGGGCTGGATCTCTGTTGTGCCTCTCTATCTGCACACAAGGAAGAGAACGGGCAGGTTTGTCTATCTGTCTCCAGGCTCTGGTCTGTCAGCTCCTGCTGCCCGCAGAGGTGTGGGTGCCCTGGCCTGAGGCTGGGTGTGCATGGCAGGCAGCTGTAGTGTGCTGCAGAGTGAGGGCATGCTGAGCATCAGTGCATGTTGCACATCCTGCTGGGCCAGGGACCTGATTCTGCACTGGTGCCATGCTGCCAACAGGAGCGATTGGTGGCGAGTGCCTGGGGGGCTCAGCCTGCATGGGGCACACACATGCACTCCGTGGTGGGAGCCTCTTGCACAGATGATCCTGTGCTGCACATGCATGTGCTGGGTCAGCCAATGCATTCACTCTGCCTGCACCATGCCCTCCCTAGTCCAGCTCACGTCCTGCTGTGGGGACTGCAGGGCCAGAGCACTGAGATCCTGCCCTGCCATGGCCTTGGCTAGCAGGAGTTAAATCCCAGATGAGTGAATTCCTTGCCTGGATGTTTCCCTCTGCTCACCTTTGGCCCTTGTCCTGTGTGGATTCCCTGGGGATCCTGTGAAGCAAGCACAGCTTGTCCCACTCCCTGCCCTGCCAAAGGAGCCAGCGAAGGGCTCAGCAGGACCACGTGGACCCCTCTCCCAGGGTCTGTCCTGTGACACCACATCCACCACTG